TAATCGGAAAAAAGCCAAATATAAAGAACTAGTAAAACAACTAGACGAAAATTTTAACGAAGTAAACTTTATAAATCTTTCTATGCTATGAGCTCCCTAGGTATTTTTGCGCAAAAATGCTCTACACTCTTAGAAATGTTAGGAAATGTTGGTCTGGACAAAAACTACGAAACGTACTGTGTTAGGAAAATGATGACTATTGCCATTCGAAGTACATACTATATTTTTTGCTGCCGAAATAAGGAATGGGAAAGTCCAGACTTGTTAACTATTTGAAATATCTGATTGTCTTGTATATTTATATATTTTCATGTATTCTGTCTTATCATTTTTATTAGTTCATATAGTTGTGATTCAAATAGCCAATTGTAAGTTACCTTAAATTAGTGAGATTTGCAATTGTATATATATATAGTATATAACAAAATTATTAAAGTTTTCATTATTATTATTATTATTATTATTATTATTATTATTATTATTATTATTATTATTATTATTGGCTATCATCACATCCCTAATAACATGAATAATTTAATAAAAAGCTTATACACTGATTTTAAAACTTCCGCAATTACTTCTGAGTTCTGTACCCATTTTATACCTGTTGGCCGTGGTGTTTTGCAAGGTGACTGTCTTAGTCCTCTACTATTTAATATGTGTTTCAACACATATCTTCAACATATCAAAGCTGATAAGTACCGCCAGTTCGGTTTCTCCCTCCAACTCCTTAATCCAATCCGCTGGTTTCAGTTTGCCGATGATGCTGCGGTTATTACTGGTCAGGAGTCGGAAAATCAACATCTCCGTAATCGATTCTCTATCTGGTGCCAATGGTCCAACATGGTTGTTAGAGTTGATAAATGTAGCACATTTGGCATCAAAAAAGTTTTATCAAAATCTGCCCAGTACCTGCCGAAGCTTTTGATCAATAAGGATCTCATACCAACGATTAAGACTGGAGAATCATTTGAGTATTTGGGACGACACTTCGACTTTAGCATGACTAATGAAAAACATAAATCTAAACTGATCTCCCTCATTGATGAACTGATGTCCGAAATAGATCTTAAACCTCTTCACCCAAAAAACAAAATTTTACTTTACAGTCGTTATGTTTTGTCGAAACTATCCTGGCATTTTACTGTTGCTACGATATCTAAAACTTGGGTAGTCGAAAATATCGATTCTCCGGTGAACAAGTACGTCCGAAAATGGCTGGAAGTTCCTATATCTGGAACATTAAGTAACATCTTTCTAACCCGTAATAAGTTTGGTCTAAATAATTATCATCCCTGCATCCGTCAAGTTCATTCAGTGTCAAACAGTTCTACGCAATGCCCTAAAAACATCTCCAAACGATTCAATTAACGAACTGTGGAAGTCAACTAATAATCATATTAACATTCAATACGATAGCTACAATTCAACTAAAGAAGTTTTAAAAGCTTTCCATTCTCAACAAGAAAATAAACTTAGGGACCGTTTGAAATGTCAAGGTTCCTTTTTCGAAAATGTTTCTAAATTCTCCCTATCACAACTTAACGCAATCTGGTCGGTATCGCAATCAAAGCCACCAAAGAACATTTTCAACTTTACAATTCGCTATATGAATAATACCCTTCCTACCCGAAAGAACCTCAGTAGATGGGGAATTTCATCAAGTTCTGACTGCTCGTTCTGCTTACACCCTGAATCACTTCTGCACGTTGTTGCCGGTTGTCAACATTACGTGGAATGATTTACTTGGAGACACGATTGCATACTAAAGTTTCTTGCAAAAACCTTTCAAAGTTTAAACGAATGCAAATTACTTGTTGATCTTCCTGGATTTGAAAGCCCCTCGATTATTACGGGTGATGAATATCGTCCTGATTTACTTGTCTCCACTTCAGACAAACACCTCTACGTTGTTGAACTTACTGTAGGCTTTGAATCAAACCTCACAAACAATGTTAACCGCAAGAAAGCTAAATATAAAAACCTAATTAGAGAACTGGATCAAAACTTTACATCTGTTAAGTTTATAAATCTTTCTGTCAGTTCGGTAGGGGTGTTTGACAAAGAATGTCATACATTCGTAAAAATGCTAAATGAGTTAGGACTGGATAATCAACACCAACAATATTGTATCAGAAAAATGATATATATTGCCATCCGATCAACGTACTACATATTTTGCTGTAGAAATAAAGAATGGATAAATCCCGAACT